GCATGTCAGCAGTTGCTCAGAAGAGGAAGAGGAGGAGAAGGAGCTTGGAGACAGACACACAGGGGACAAACAGCCACATGATAGAGGGGAAAAAGTACCAGAAACACATAAGTTCTGGATAGCTTCCTAAAGTAAGAAAAAGGAAAACAACAACAACCAAAAAAAAAAAAAAAAAAAAAGAAAGAAAGAAAGAAAGAAAAATTTTACCTTTAGCCTTACTCAGAAGAATCTTTGGACCCAACAGAATCTCACAGTGGCTGGTAGGGACTGCATTAGGGTATGGAATTCTGGTAAGAAAAGTACTGTAAGTACCCTATGTCATTAAAGGCCTATGGTGATATATGTGTCCCCCGATATACTATAGCTCCCAGTAAAATTTACCTGCCGTTCAAAGGAAAAAGCCAGCCACTATATTAACATAGAAGTCAGGCAATGGCAGCACACACACCTTTAATCCTATCACTTGGCAGGCAGGGATCTGTCTGGATCTCTGTGAGTTCAAAGACACACTGGGGAACAGAGCCAGACATGGTGACACATGCCTTTAATTCCAGCACTAACCATAGAGGTCTGTAGGTCTGTACAGACAGACAGAAAGTGACAGAGCTGAGCAGGAAGAGGAATTGAGGTAGCTGGGCTGAGAGAGCAAATGAGAGAACAGAACAGAAAGGCATATAGGCGTGGGTAGACAGGAAGTAGCTCGCTTTGGAAACTGAGGTGTCGGTGAGGTGAGGTTAGCTGTGGCTTTTCCTATTCTGATCTCTCTCTGGTTTTAACCCCAATTTCTGAGGTTTTATTGTTTATTATTATTATTATTATTATTGTTATTATTATTATTATTATTAAGGTCCTTAGCATGCCTCAAGCTGAGTCTGCTTTTAGAGTGGTCTCACCTTTCTGAGGGGTGTCCCCTTTTGTTAAGTCATTGACCTGACTACCTTGAATTTTAGGTTTTCACCCAGGCCAGGAAATTCATTTTCTTGACCAGAGGAGAAATGGATGTCTTTCAGTGGGCCCTTATTGCTCCTGTGCCATTCCCTTCTCTGAAGAGGTTGTCCTAACATCATTGAGGAGTCAGCTCAGGCAGGAGAGCACTCAAACATTAAAATTCCTGGCCTTCAGCCAGGACAGGTCCAATAACATTTTCAGTTTATAGCCAGAGATACAAATAGTGGTCCCTGCCCCTAAACTGTTCATTTCTACCTTCTGTCTTAGCACTATTTTCCCTGCATTTCACTGCTGTTGTTTCTTAAATTCTTAGTGTTCTTACTTGGTCTTAAGGCATTAAAGATTTCCATGCTAATAATTTCAAGTTCATATTTCCAGCCTACTCTTTCTTCTGAACTTCAGGCTGAAATATTCAACCTCCCATTTAGTGCCATGCCTGAATGTCTTAAAGGCATCTCATGTATAAACCCAATCTCAAAGAAAATCATTACAAAGGCATTTTACCCCCTTGAATCAAATAAGGAAACTCCTCAAGTCAAGGCTATTTTTTAAAAAAAGACTTTATACATTCCTACCCCAGAACATTTGTTCTGTATATCTTTTGTGGATATATAATCACCAGTTGAAAAAAATAGAATTTTCAGCTTCCAAAATAATAATCTGGTGCAACAACATCACTTTAAGAGCGGAATGGTCAGAGAGTTAAACAATATTGAATTCTTCTGCCCACTTGGTTACTGTCACCCTGAAACACAAAGAATGGCTTTCAGAACTGCAGATTAAATAAGAAAGCCCCTGACAACATCCGCTTTTCTGAACAACTCCAGTGCTTCTGAAATATGACATTTCGCTGTTGTTTCCTTTTATGGTTTTCTAATTACTGACTTTATTTGCATGAAATGAGGATCTGGGTTGCCTAGGCGTTCATCTGTTCCTACTGCATATTCTCCTCTTAAGTAGGCATGCTCTGATGTAGTTTCCCTGGTTGCCTCCAGCATGTTGAAAGATCTTGCGGTCTTCTCTCCCTCACTGTCTTCATGTTCCTCCCAGAGAGAAGGGTTATTTGGAAAGAAGATCAATGGGAATTTGAAGTAGCCAATGAATGAGGGGGTTGTAGGGTTGGGAACAAGCTATCGGGGATTGCTAAGTAAAAGATGGCAGCAGTCTTTCCCTAACAGTGGTTCTCAACCTTCTAATAATGCTGTGACCTTTTAATGAAGTTCCTCATGTTATGGTGAATCACACAATAAAATTATTTCATTGCTACTTCAAAACTGTAATTTTGCTACTATTATGAAACACAGTGTAAATATGTGATATGCAGGATATGCAATATGTGACCCCCAAAAGGGTTGCAACCAACTATTCTATAAGAAAGCAGGGTGAACAAGCCCTGATGAGCAAGCCAGGAAGCACACGTCCATGGCCTCTTCTTTAACTCCTGCCTCAGTTCTTTCCCTGGTTGAATTCCTATGCTCACTGCTTTTGACCATGAACTGTTATATCAGTGGTTCTCAACCTCCTAATGCTGCAACCCTTTAACATAGCTGCTCGTGTTGTGGTGCCCCAACAATAAAATTATTTTTGTTGCTATTTCATTAACTATAATTTTTCTACTGTTATGAATTGTAATGTAAACATCTGTGTTTTCCAATGGTCTTTGGGGAGTCTCAACCCACAGGTTGAAAACCACTGGGTTATATGGAAGCACAAGCCAAATGAGACTTTTCCTCTCCAAGTTGCTTTTGGTGTTTTGTCATAGCATTAGTAATCTAAACTAAGACAGTTGGAGAATGGGCTGTGGGTTGATATTTGCTGTTGTCCTCAGCTGTTTCCATATCGTGTACTCTCATAAGACCCTGCTCCAAAGCAATCACACACCATCAAAATGTCTTCCTAGGAAATTGTTTGACTAAAGAAGCTTGGAGGCAGCAGTAATTGAAATAAAGAACATGATCTATTACAGACCATAGTCTTTTCAGACGTGTCTGCCTTCATTATTTCAAAGCCTCTGTAGTAACATACAAATTCGGCTAGCAACAGAAGGCATGTGTCCACCCTGAACAAAAGGACATTTATTTCTACAGCCCAAGGCTGATGTTGATAGATAACATTTTTGCATATTTTAAACTTTTTAGAGAGATAATATTTAAAAGCAAAAAAAAAATGCTTTCACAATAATATGTTTTGTGAATGGAATTTACATCTCTGGCATGTAAGAAAAGAACCTTTTGTTTTTGAGACAAAGTCTCACTAGGTTGCCTTAGCTGGCCTGGAGTTTGTTATGTAGAGTAGGCTGGCTTCAGACTCACAGAGATCCCCATTTCTCTGCCTCCTGAATGCTGTGATTAAAGATCTTACCTTTGAAAGAGAAAATCAGAAACACAACCAAGAGCTGTTTGACCCACTCATTCTATCATTGTTGGCCATCATGGCACTTTTAGATTTATGCCACTCCACCTTAAATTATCTAGACTTTGGTTTTCTGTTTTTGAATTTTGCTTGTGTGTTTATAGGTGGTGTGCCTGTGTATGCATGTGTGTGTATGTGTGTTCCCATGTGTGAATGCACACATGTGTACAAGCATGTGTAGACATTGGGTGTCTTCCTCAATTGCTCCTCAATACTTTTATGTATTGAGGCAGAGTTTCTCTCTGAAGCCTCAACTCAGGGATTTCTGTTAGTCTAGCTAGCCAGAGAGGCAGTCTGGCCAGGGCCTAGGAACCTGACTCTCTTGCTCTAGAGTGCTGGGATATCAGCAGGCTGCCACACATGCCTGGCTTTTTCACGCGTTCTGGGGTCCAAACTCCAATCCTTACACTTCTGCAGCAAAGTGCTGGATCCACTGAGCCACTCTCCAGCCCCTCACTCTTAGACAACTTATAGAGCTCTACCTCTGGCAAATAGTGATGCCTGCAGTTTTGAATTCAGCTTTGACATTAGGGATAATCCTAGGAAGATTCCACCAAATCCCACACTTTCCCCCTATTATTGTACTACTAAAAATTTTTTATAAGACCATTATATTCCTTTATAAAAATGAACCATGGTTGACATCAAAATGCTATGTGAGTTTGGGTATGGAATAAACGGAAATCTTGAATGCTGAAGTCATAGGTTCCCACATTTCTGTAAAGGATTACATGCTGGGACAATCAGGCTGCACTGATACAAGGCAGTAACTAAAATAGGGAAGACCCAACCTTGATCATGTTTACACCGGAATTTTCTTTTTCTTTTTCTTTTTGATACTTGGCAAACTAGGTTGGAATGAAATATTCTCCATTTTACATTAGTAAATTTGGTTACAGTAGTGATTAGAAGCAGGAGGCTGTTACATGCACAAGTGGCCTAGCTCTCTAGACAATGACACCTTGGCTTGTTATGGGTTTTTGAGACAGGGTCTCCTATATAGCCCAGACTGGCCTTGAACTCATGGTCTTCCTGACTCACTCTCCTGAGTACTGTGATTCTGAGTGTGTTTTTAGTTTTGTAATTGTGTGTCAGTTTGTGCCCAGAGAGGATATGAGGAAAAACCAAATGGTGAACAGTAGTAATCTGGGGAACGTGGCAGGAATGGAATTGGGTTACCAAGTACTAACTTCATACATCATGTATTTTATAATTCTTGAATTTCATAATGTCTTTAAAAGTCATGCATTTGTAATATTTGGATTTTTATATTTATTATATAACCAGAAAAGCACTAGTTTCAAAAATAGAAATAGAAAAAAAATGTTTTAAAAATATTTATTTTTTACTTTATGTGTATGAAGGTTTTACATGTATGTAGGTTCGTGTACCACTTGTGTGTCTGGTGTCTTTGGAGGCCAGAAGAAGACATCAGGTCCCCTGGAACTGAAATTACTGTTGTAAGCTGCCATGTGAGTGACAGGAGTTGGATCTTGAGCCTTCTGTAAGAACAAAAAGTGCCCTTGACTGCTGAGCCATGTCTCCAGCCTTAGAATTTTTTTTTTAACCTGCACAAAAACCTTTCGATAAAAATGGTTAAAGTGTAGACTGTTACTGACAGTTCCCCGAGCGTTGAAGTAATGGCTGTTCATGTCTTCCTCTCTTCAACAGTGCAGATCCAAGTGGAGGAGAAAGAAGAGGACACCGAGGAAAGCTCAAGTAAGCAAGGGCAGGCTCCTTAGGAGGAGGTTCCTCCTGATGGAGGGCATGCACCTGTCATAGTACCCCGCACCACCACGGAAAACTCCAGGAGTGTGTGGCCATGCTTTCTGCTGGCCTCACTGACCAGTGCATAGAATCCTCACTCTAGGTTCTAGTCAGCTGGTGTGTGCACAGCCTGCATATACACATATGCATGTGCACCCATGAATGCACACACACATAGACACACACACACAACTTACAAGTTGTTCCTTAGGAAGAAAGTTGTAATGTTATTATTATTTTTTTTTCTATTTTCTCTGGGAAAGCCTTGCTTGATGACAAAACAGATTGGCTTGCCATGAACTATATCTGTTTCATGCTGGGCTTAGTGACACATGGGAGGTTGCACTTTTTTTTTTTTTTGAACTCACAGAGATCCACAGAGTGCTGGGATTAAAGGCATGCACCACCACCGCCCAACAGGAGGTCACACTTTGGAGGCAGAAGCAGGTGAAGCTCTATGTGTTAAAGGCTAGACTGGACAATGTAGTGAATTGTAGGC